TAAACTTAATAACATTAAGACAGCAAAGAATCTAATTACAGTGAAAACAAGTGAGGAAGAAGAGATGAAGAAAAAAAGGGCAAAGGGAAAAGGAAAGAACAAACTAATGTTAGCTTAACTTGTAGCACTTCCCAGAACTGTAAATTTTTTCGGGGGAAATTAAAAAAAAAAGAAAAATGTTCAACCAGTCACAAAGAATTTAAGAAAAAGGAAATAAAGCGAGGATAGAAAGAATTAATATAAACTCGACTTTTTGACGCTTGAGGAAACTCCACTTTCTTCCATTTAGACTAGGAAAAGGACAGAAAAGATGAATAATTAGTTCCATAAACCTTTTTCTATTTTCATGGTTATGTGTTGCAATATTCAAGTTGCTACAGAAAACAGAATCAATACAAAACTGCATCGATCAATAATCAACATAAGGAATCATAAACCTCCAGTAAGCTTGAGTTGTCAATTGTCATGGGTCACAATTTCAAAGTGGAGCTAAGTAGATACAAAATCAGTAACAAAAGCAAGTTCAGAAACTGACCTAATGCATGGGGCGGAGGTACTTGAATGCAATGACAGTACTGATCCACAGCCTCCAAATTTATCATTTGCACAGTCAGATTATACTTCCATTATACCTAAAAGTGGCTAAGAGTCATCTAATCATTTATGACCAAATAAATCTTAGGAAAGTTTAGTTTTATTCCAGTATAATCAACAGATGTACCAGTGATCGATAATGCCGCTGCATAGATTATGCATGGTTCACATGTCACATAAAGGGAGCATGCTGAAAACTTTTCTACAACTTCTGCAGCCGAAAATCCTGTCCTCTGCCACTGTTCAAGAAGAACATCAAGAACGTCCATCTCTGCATGTCTTGTTGCCTATGAAAGCGCAAGGTGAAAAATAAAGAAAGCATATCAAACTTAGGAGCTTTGCCAGAGAGAAAGTTGCTCTTAGTGTGTAGTTTCATAAAAAATTTAGGAAATGCGTTTCAAAAGAAATGTTTTCTCCGACAAGTTATCTGATTGAGTATATACAAGATTGATCAAGGCATATACTACATGATATCAACAAGTTTTGCTCACTTGAAGTTGCTGATAATCTCACATGAAAAAGAGCCTTCTTATTGGATTGGCCACCTCCACCTTTTCTAACATTATTTTTTATATACCCCTATAGCAAGGTGCCTTTGTTTTTTCATTGTGCTCCACAAGATACTAAAAGGGCCAAATATTTTTCACATCAACTATTTATTACTGTCTGCAAAGTCATTTATAGTAGTGTCTTGTCACCACATAACTATAAATGGTTCTAGGAATAGACTATTAGATAAGAGATTATCTCTACCAGAAACCAGGCTTAAACTATTTGTGTAGATGTGGCCATTGTGCGAAAAAAATGTGCCCAAGAAGCAGGTTCTTACATCTTACAAGGCAATACAATGTTCACAATTCATTTTATACCAAATAAGTATACCAAAGTTTAGCTAACATATGGTATAAGGAAACAATGTTAGGAACTTCACAAAAGCTGATAAAGACCATAATATGGTTCCAGACAGAGCACAATGGTAAGAAATACGTAAAACATTGTGCACAATAAAGCCAGATTATTGCTAGTGTTAGCCGGAATCATATTTTATGAAAGAATAATGGGAACAAAACCATTTACAGCCTAATAATGCATGGAAATTCCACTTATTAACATATTTGTTCTGATAATTATTTAATCATCTATTAAAGAAATAGTCATGGGAGAAATATATAATGACCAACAATAACTACGAGTAGATAATTCGAGGATATCAATTCAGAACAATAACAAAGTGCCGTTGGCCAAATTTATACAAGGGGGTGGAGAAGCAATGATAAACCATACATTACGTGCCTCATTAGTCCGGTTTCTTCCTGTCATAATAACGTGCCCATCCTCAACAATCACACAGCTGTTCAATCAAAGAGTACAATCTGAAATCATTCACTAATTAAGACTGACAAACTAATCATCTTAATTAGAAAATAAAGTTTTATATCTGAAATGCACATGATTACTGAAAATTAGTTTTTTACCCAACTGGAACTTTAAGGCTGTCCAAAGCAAGCTTTGCCCTATATAAGAATAGCAAATAGGTTTTGTTACTTGTTAGAAGAAAAAACTGTGAGTATAAGAGTAAGAAATTCGCAAGCATGCATGCATGTATTCAAGCTATTCAAGAGGAAATCAGCATCAAGTGTCCAGCAGTAGAAATATTCAGTATCAATATGCAACTACTAATGGAATGAACGCATGTCTCACAGCTATATAATCAGGATCCTGCAGGTCCTGTGTAATGTACTGATCACAAACTTCTAAACAATGATTATTGCAACATATTCGTCCTGTAATTCATATGTAAATCACACCTAACTGTTAAACTGATATGGCCCTAACCACACTAAAGCAGAAACAGCAAACAATTTTTGAGAAACTGCAAGTTGCTCATTCCAGTGTGTCCTATCATTGGTACCTCAGAAGCTTATCTTTCATTAAATAGGTTTCGCTCAAACATTCAAGAAGCTTCCACGAGTTTTAGCTTCTCGGTCATTTTCCTTCATAAAAGCTATGGCATATAAGGATAAAAAGAGAATTTAAACTGTTGCGAAGGCCTCATGATTCAGAATCGACATCAGCATCTTGTGCTTTTGTCTCTATTCTACCGAATAACTTATGTAAACTCCGTGTTTCTCATGATTATTTATTTTTCATATCCACAGTCCACAGGACGAAAGAAAATAACCACCTAACCAGTTATCCGTGGGCACAACCGATGTTCATATTACGCTCACACTCAAAGTAAATTTGGTTTTGAATTCTCCCTAGTTGCCAAAGTCAAGAAGTGGTTAAAGGACTCGACTATCAAGCAACCTTTCCTGGTGGCTTGCCATCTCATTGCATCTTCTTAATTCCTCTATGGTTGTGCCTCTTCTTCATAAAACATAGAGACAGAGCCCTATCCCAGTGATAGAAGTTTCTTCGAATTCAATTCTCCTGGCAAACCTATCACCCGCTGCACATCTGTATAATAAGTACATACTAGATACTACACATCCACATTTCCTAGACACCTCAAAAGCTCCCAAAGCCATTCCTCTCTCCCTCCCAACCCACAGCACCCGGATTGGCTCAGTATTTTGCCTGAGAAGGGGACTGAACCAACCCATGTACACCCTACTTTCCATTACTTCACTCTCCCTTGCTTGTTTTTTCTTTGAACCTAGACTTCAACAAATTCTTTCTATAAATTGCCGCCGATGAAAACAAAACAAAAAAATCTACACATTCCAGAGATTGTCGCTGATTTTGCAGCGTGTAACGTCGACAACCTATGAATTCACAATCAAGCATCCACAGACAAAACTTACGAAGGAACATCGATTCAGCGTCTCTCGAACAAATTCAACGACATATTCTTCAAGTTCCCGCGCAATTGTAGCACCAACTGAGTCGAATTCAAAATCCAGCTCAAGTATCACATCAACTTGTTAAGATTCAGATGCGTCACGCATTACCTTATCAACAGCAAGCTGCGCAAAGCCCAGAACCTCAGGAGAGAATCGTTCACCCGAAGCTACGTCAACAGTTTCCATGGCTTCTCGGCGGTGGTAGTCCGTTCACTTCCACTGGCCGGTCTCCGTCAACCGTCGGTTCGCTAGGGACTCTGTTTCCGGAAGACCAACTTCTTCTGTTGGTCGCCTCCGTTGGCAGGTGGCGATCTTCCATGCGTAGAAGCTCACTGGTGGCGTCGTATGGAAAGATGAGGAGTCGTGATGCGTAAAGTGGGGTCGATGGAGTTTGAAGAAAGAATTACAGAATTCCATTTGGGAATAAAGTTAACTAACTTGGGTTAATTAAAGGGGATTTGAGCAAAAAAGAAAAAAAAGGTGATTGTTTATTTGAAGCAAGCGATCATCAAATATACATTATATTTCTACAAGGATGAAAGGGTACTTCGACAAAGACAAAAAAACAATTTTGATATGCTCCTTTCGTGAAAAATTTGACATTGATAATTTTCAAAACGTCGGTTCCAGAAAAATGACATAACGGGACAGTTACATGATCGAGGCTTATGATAATTTTTATGAGTCCTGTGTTCAAAATCTATTTACGGTGATAGTTGTTGAGTGAAGGGAGAATGACCGAGATCGTTCCGTGATTGTATACTCGAGTATAAAATGCATGAATGGGGCATGGATTGAGGGGTTGAATCGACGTGAAACTAATAAGCGTGGAGAGAAAAGTAGATGCATTGGAATTGAAATTACATTGCAAGGAAATAAATTTTGAAACAAAAACACACGGAAATGAGAGTGGTAAGAAACAAAGGTGCAAGTAAAAAAAAAATGAAACACAAAGATAGATAATATAACCCACCCATCGGTGGCCGCATTGGTTTGCGCTCAGTTCCTTTCACGAGAGGTCCTGGGTTCAAACTCGCCCATCGGTGATTTAAGTGGGGGGTCGTGGCGGTGGGATGCTGCGCTAGCCCCCCTCGAGGACTAGTCGGGCATCACCGCTGGTTTGAGCCCTAGCTCACCGGCCGCGCGGACACCTCGGTTATCAAAAAACAAAAAAAAGATAGATAATATATATGTACTCTACACACGTGAAATTATTCACCCGAGCCTCCTCGTGTAACTCTCCAGCCACAACCTTTGCATGCTTTCTTGGTCGAACTAATTTTCTCGATATCAAGTCGAGAAGTAGGGCGACCTTCTCTCTCCTCGTGGAGGTCTCTATGGGGCTGATTATTTCCGTTGTTGTAGCTAGCAAAGTTAACGCTAATTAAAATGGACACATAAAGTACCTCAATGTTAATAAATTTGGGTAAAAGCGGGTACAAAGAGCGGGTTACAAGTTTTTTTTAGAAAAGAAAACGAGAAGAACAAGAAGAAAGAACGCATTGTAATCGAGATCAGTGAGTTCACTTACCTACAAATTGCTTCCTTAGCAAGTTTCGATCATCCCAACAACAAAAGCTGCAAGCCAACACTGCCATCCTCATCTCTGCCGGTCGAATTGGAAGTCGGCATAGTCTTGGTTCGCATGCCATGAGGAAGAATAAGCTTAGGATTTCCCTTTGATACTATTTGACTATGTTCCTCACTACTCCTTTGGCAATCCTGCAAGTTTTTCCGTAGCTCTGTTTCGATCAAACTATCATTGTGCATAAGTGGACCCTCAACTTTTAAATCTGTTGATTCAAGAACAACCTCGTGGAGTAAAGCTGGATTGATTAGCCGATTGTTTTGAATCCCAACCTTTAAATTGTCATCAAGTGACTTGCATATTATTCGGCATCCCCACTTTTTTGCCTTTGTAGCCAATACTGTAAGGCTAAAGTGTACATAACTCCCATCAATTTGACCAAAATCGACTTCTCCCCACAGATCATATGGTGTGAAATACCAAAGCAAGATTTGATCCAAATCTAATGCCAAGAAGTTGATTCCTCCTTTGCAATCCCTCATTTCGCCATTCACATGTGGTAAAATCTGAAATATTTGATTTTGTGCCTGTCTATCATTATTGAAAACGACACAAAGAGTCAATCCAAGAAACTTGTCATACAAGTCCTTTGAAGCCATGAATGATACGGAACTCTCTTCAATAGGGAGGATCCACTTTGGCATCTCTCCTCCAGGGAGCCAAATTGTGTTATCAGGAGGCATCTATAATAAAGTAGTGAAGTTTGTTATTAGTAGTACTAAAATAAACGAATTCATTTTGAGTTTAGTGATTAATCCCAGTGAATTCCACTTCAAACTAGAGCTCTCTAAATGAGTAGAGATTCAGTGACCCTTGCTTGCATTAACATACAACTTTCATGTGATAGAAATCATTCCCGTAAAAGTACGGTAGCCAACTTTATTACATGCACAAAATTGCAGAATCACTTTATATTTGTTTGCTTTTCTTGAGCCTTTGCATTTACTACTATTGCAATATACAAGAACATAATACATCCACCATATACTCCGTTAGAGAGAGAGAGAGTCCAACCTGGTCCAGCGAGGGAATGTCAGCCACTGTCAACACTCTACGGACAAGAATAGAAGGTGAAAACGAATCTCCATTATTCGCCGAAATATGCTTCAAAAATGGTGGAAGCTCGGGTATCTCTTGTAATTGACAGGCATATGAATTTACATATACGGATAAATGATTACGCTTATGAATAGATGTAGGAAGGCTAGTAACATTGCTCTCTGCCAGAATTAAATGTTGCAAGATGGGAAAACAGGAAGGATTCTCGAGAAATTCTATTCCGGACAAATTACATGTCCCAAGATTTAAAAAGAGTAAATTTGAAAGTCCAGTCTTCATGCACGGATCAACTGAATCCTCATACTCTGGAAATCCTATTAAATTTGTGCAAGCCGAAAGTTCCAAGATTTCAATGTTTTGTAACTTGTAAATACTAGAAGGAAGACTTGCCAAGTTCTTGCAATTACTTAAAATCATTATTTTCAAAGAGACAAGATTTTCTATTGATGTAGGTAGTTCTTTAATAGCGGTCTCATGTAAACAAAGCCTTTTCAAGCCTTTGAGTTTACGTGGAATATCAGGGAAACTGTCAACTTTTCTGCACCCACTTAAATTCAACAACTGTAACTTGTCATGATAAGCAATAGACTCGTGGGCTTCTACCAAGTTTTTGCAATCACAGAGAACCAATTCCTCAAGATTTGGAGTATAAGAAAGATCGGTCATATGAACCAACGATTCACAGTTACTGAAATTAATGTACTTCAATTGTTGGAAGTCCTGCAAAAACAGCGAAACCAACATTTCATTAAAAGTTACTATAAATTGATTTCCCGAGAATTACATATTGTATTGAGAAATTAGTAAACAATTAGAAACTTTACTAGTAATTACAAATCTATATGTATATACCGTAAGAGATTGAAATTTATAGATGGTAAATCAAAAAGCTAATGGATATTGGTTGGATGCGGGCCACGTGGTAAAACTATGCCACATGTCATGCCATGTGGCAATTAGAAAAGTGGTAGAAGGACACCACAAGTGCTAAAAGTTGTGGACGGCGCTCACTTTTATTCCAAAAGTTTCTTTCGGATCATTTAAATGCCACTTTATAAAAAACAATGATCACTTAAGTGTCAACTCTGATCTCGAATGCCGAAAATCCGACGTGATAATATTTTAATATTTTTTCCACTGACATGGCTCGCTGGACGTCTAAATCAACATAAAAAAACCCGAAACGACGTTGTTCAACAAGTTTCACCTGCCTGCACGACCCAAAACGACGTCATTCAGCAAGAAAAATCAATTTCTTGCTGAACGACCGACAGAAAGGGGATGCAAAGGGGAAAAAGGGAGCATTAGTGAGAGAGCGAAAGGGAAATTCTCTCTGGCTTCTTGTCTGGGCAATTCATCAAGACCACCTCAAAGTATGCTGTCAACGGAGCTAATTCGTTGAAGAACCTGGCTGCAAACCGAAGGCTCGGCCATATCCATTCTCAGCCACGCATGGTGAGGAGTTCGAATCGCGGTTGGTGTTGCCTCCTTCGCCAACCAAGTCCCTTGAGGCGGTTTCTAGAGCCATTTTGTTCCGATCTACCCGGCAATCGCATCCGGCGACTTTCCCTTCACAAGGTACGCCCAAGCTCCTCTCTTTTCCCCTGTTTTGTCGAATCGGCGAGCTGGGGCTCACCGGCCCTGATTCTCGCGCGTTCCGAACCTGCTCATACCTTTCTCTGTGTATTCCTAGTGTTGTTTTATGGTTATGGTTGAGTATGGTCTGAGTTTGCGCCCCGATTGCTTTCTGGTTGTCCCCTCGGCCGTTATACCTTAGGTGTTCGATGAAATGTCTGGGTGAGGTTTGTGCACTTGTTCTTGGTTTTTCGTCCAATCTAGGCGTTCATTGATTGCTGGATGTATTTCATGGCTTTCTAAATTGATATCACGCCAGTGTCTTTCATATTTCGTCGAGTCTGGTTCGTTCGGAGCGATTGCTCTTCCCCTCTCTCTCTCGCCTCCATTTCTTTGACTGAGCTCTGCAACATGAGATGAAACCAAGTGATCTCGACTGAACAGCACTCTTCTCACATATCTGAACCATGTCGTTCCTTGCCCTCTCTCTCCAACCTATCAACGAATCTGACATCCTCCTTTAGACCCATGAGTGGTTCCCGACTGCTCGCACCTTCGTTGCTCTCTCCACCTCACGCCACACCCGCTTCTCCTACGCCAAGCCCTTCACCGCTCCCTCCTCCTCCTTTGATCCTGACCCCACTTCCACCTTCTACTTTATCAGTGATGACCCCCTCACCGCCTCTTATGGCCTTGCGACAGCCATAGAAGCCTTGGTTTCCCTTAAAATCGCCCTTGGTGAGAAGGAGGTGGCTTGGCGTCGTTTGTTGAGGTTGGGGCGCAGCTCATAGGTCTAGGTGGTGATGGGTGAGCATCGGAGAAGCTATGGCCAAGTAGTCACAGTGTGAAGCAACAAGGGTGCAGAAGGGAGAAAAGAGAAGAAAAAAAAGAAAAAAAGAAAAAATGACATGGAGGGAGAGGAGGAGAAATGTACACATGGAAATGCCATGTGGACCAATTTTTTTATTTATAAAAATTCTAACTTATATAAAAATTTTAATTATAAATGCCACGTACTTATTTTGGTCGGAGTTTCTCACCGGATGCACTTAAGTGATCATTTTTTATTAGATTTTGCACTTAAATGATTCGGTGAAAACTTTTAACACTAAAATGAGCGCCGTGCACAACTTTTGACACTTCTAATGTCTTTCTCCTCAGAAAAGTAAAATGAAGTGCCAAACGACAACCATGCGAATGTGGGCCACGTGACAAAATTAAGCGACATGTCATGCCATGTGCCAATTAGAGAAGCAAAGTTATTGTCATGTGGCGAGCACCAGAGTGAACATTTTTTTATTCTAATTTAGACTATTTATAATGGCTTAATGTCAAGACTATATTCTATCACAATGAAAGTTTTCAAAAAATAAATAAAATTTTAAATTTCTTTGAAACCATGCAAAGACAATGAAACCAACTTTGAAAAAAATTATGAAGAAAAAGAATTCAGATATACAATTCAATATCTAGCTCTGAATTTTGATTAAGAAACTAGTCGTATGCCACCACTAGATCCCATTATTTGTAAACGCATTACAACATTATTGGCAAAGCTTCTAATAAATATTTTATTATGTTTGCTTAGAAATGTTGCTCTTTAAGGACTGACTTAAGTAATTAATAATGCCTTGTTTTACAGCACAGTGCATTCAAACCTTTGACAGAGTTAATTCTATCGATGCATGACAAATCTCATTGTTAGGTACGTACATTGGGTAAGGCTCTATCACTTGATAACTAACTGGCCTCTTAAGGTTACTTTCAGTTGGAGATGTCGTGACAAGGATATCTAATTTACCACATCCAAATCAAGCATTTAGCCACTTAGCCAGCTACTGCTTGGGTGTTTTCACTTTTATACACAATATCAACGAATTCATTCTTTATATTATTGTTTCCTCTATATTTGCTCATTATACAAATTTTCTGTAAAAAAAAAAAGGTTATGTGTAAACAACCGACACAATTAGAATAGGTTACGCAGCTTACACTAGCACATTTGCATTCTTCACTAGGTAGATTTGATTTGATTTTGAAATATAACTATGTCGATTGTTAGAGACATTGGATTTAAAAAGTATTTTACCTTCATCTATATTATTATATAAAGTAAAGAAAGGACATCCTACTTTTAAGGGATTTCAATTTTCTTTTTAATTCTTTCCTTTAATTATACTCAATTACTTATTTTACAAATATTATACTCATGGACGGATACGTGAAATTGATTATTCTCTTTTATCTCACATACTTTATAATTATGTCTCAAGTTTGAGCCTATATATTGAACCCGACCTGATTGGAGGATGGGGACCTTCGTATTGCATGAGGCGTAAAAGAAAAGTCCAAGTTGGACTTTGACATGGTGTTGCATTCTATGGATCATAATCTCGTATTATAATTTGTTTTTCTTTGTTGGATATATGAACCAACGTTCGGTCAACCGACAAGGGTTTCTTCATATCTATCCAAGGTATGAGATCAAGAGTTGAACTCCTCTGATTGCCGCCCGGTTGACTTTCCTTTAAAAGGCCGCACAAGAGGAAACAAAAAGGAATACTCTGAAGAAAGTCTAGGTGGGTTCCAGAGATAGAAATAAAGTGTGGGTTCTATTTCGATCTCCCTTCAGCTGCAACCGCACAAAAGAGAAACAAGGGGGAAGCTCTTCTTTGGCCGGGCACAGGAGCGGTAATACACGCTGATATATATGCAATGTAGTTTTACATCCAAATTTATTTGTTTCTTTGTGAGCACTATGGGTTTAGGTGTATCTAGGACTAGGAAGCGCTCGAGTGCGTAAGCGATTGTAACTCTAAAATTCTCTGATTAATTAATGGAGTTTTTGGTGCTGGCTCTCTCCATGGAGTAGGTACCAATACTGAGACCGAACCACACAAATATTTCGTGTTTTCTTGTTATTTCTCTAGTCATTTTGTGTTGATTTAATTGCAAGATCCGTTAGTTTCTGTATTATTTTACCAAGATTGGTATCAGAGCTATTGCTAAAATCTTTTGGATTTGATATGGGATTTTTGCTTGTCTGATTGTTGTCTAGAAATTTTATTGTTGCAGTTATGTGTGGAGTGAAAGTAAAAATTTTGAGAAATTTAACGGGAGGAACAACTTTGCGTTGTGGAGCGTTACGATGCATGCTCTATTAACAACCCAAGATTTGGCCAAGGCATTGGATGGCAAGGCTAAGTTGCTAGAAATGATGAAAGATGCCGATAAAGGTGAGTTAATTGAGAGAGCGAGGAGTATGATTCTATTGATTTTATCAAATGGGGTATTAATAATGGTGGCCGAAGAGAAGGATGCTCCAGCATTGTGGGCAAAACTTCAGACACTCTATGTAAAGAAGGGTTCAAATATCACTTATACATGTTGAAGATGATGTTTCAAGTTTATTATACTAAAGTTACTTCCATCAAATCCCATTTAGATGTGTTTAACAAACTCATAATGGACTTGAAGAACGTTGAAGAGACCTTAGATGATGAAAAATAAGGCATGATATTGTTGGCTTCTCTACCAGAGTCATGAGAGTACTTTACTAACTCAGTATTACAGGGGCATACTACAGTTACCTCAAAAGAGGTAGAATCTGTCTTGTTCTCTAAGGAGTGGTAGAGAAAGTTGAAAGATGAGGATCTAGCTCAAGAGGTGGCGTGAGAACTAGTGATTCGAAGTAGAGATCAACATCGGAGTCTAGATGCAGAGGTAAAACCAGATCAAAATCTCACAATAAAAAGTCTAAGGGTTGCGTGATGTGCTTTGACTGTCATGAGGAGGGGCACATGAGGAGAGATTGCCTAAAGCTAAGAAACAGAGATATGCCAGTGCAAAAATAGAAAGAGTCGTGCCCTTCAAAGTTGAAGGCATCCTCCCCAGATAAACTACCCACCTTGCAGTGTCCCCCTCCCGAATTCTCGATGCGGCGGTTAGGCATAGCAGGCAAAATACCTCAAGTAGTGTAGTGTGGCGAACGTTGTCGAGGAAAGCACCAATAATGCAAAGACTGTCTTGAGTGTGACTATCGACTCATCAAGAGATGTGTAGTGCTAGAATTTGGGGTATTCTTATTAGATGATTCTTCATAGGAACTGGTTTACTACTTAATAAACTGCACATGATGATAGAGTTATGATGGGGAATAACGCAGCTTACAAGATTGTCTGGATAGGGACACTTCGAATTCGGATGCACGATAGGTAATGCACATATTGATGGATGTGAGGCATGTACCGGAGCTTAAGATAATCGTATTTTCTCTTGAAACACTCAATAACATTTGGTGTAAGTACACGACTGAAGAAGGAGTGCTGAAGATCTCTCAATGTGCCATGACAGTGATGAAGGGGAAGAAGGTGAATTCTCTATATCATCTACTGGGAGAGACCATAACCAGATCTTTTGCAGTTTCGTCAAGCGAGTCAGACTCAAACTTGACTAAGTTATGGCATATGCCATTAGGGCACAAGAATATGACAAGTATGACGATGCTGAGTTAGAGTGGATTGCTCAACGGTCAGAAGATAAGGAAGCTAGACTTGTGTGAGTAATGCATCTTTAGGAAGTAAAGCCGAGTTAAATTCACTACAGCTATGCATTCGACCAAGCAACTGATTGGTTATATTCATTTAGAAGTCTAGGGCCCATCTCCGATTTCTTCGAAAGGAAGAGCTTGATATATGTTGATATTCATCGATGATTATTTGACAAAGGTGTGGATATACTTCCTAAAGCACAAATTTGAGGTGTTCAATCGGGTCAAGAAGTTTAAGGCACTCATTGAGAAGCATTCAGTAAACAAATTTAGTGCCTTAGGATCAATAACGACATGGAGTTCTATAGAAAAGATTTTACCAATTTTTGCAAGGGAGAAGTGGTTTTGGGACACCACATAGTGCCCCGGACACCACAGCAGAATGGTGTCATAGAATAAAGGAATAGAACTTTGATTGAGTGAGCTAGGTGCATTCTTTTGCATGCAAGACTCGGCAAGGAATTTTGTTTTTAGCTAATAGTTAATGGTACAAAAAAATAGTAAATGACAAAGTTTGTGTATAACTATAGAAATGAATTTTTTAAGTTCTAGTCCTAGAGAACATTTAACTAACACCCTCTCATATTATCTTTAACAAAATATATGTTGATGGAGGAAAATGGAGCCAATGATTGTGGGACGCATGATATAGCCATAGCACACTATTCTATCCAACTTTCCATTACTGTATCGATATGTATATAACCCTAAAGCTACGTTTGGTAGTTGGGATAAAATTCAAACTATGATAAAATTTGTCATATATCATGTTTGGTGCCTGTTCAGGATATGATAAAGTCGGACATATGAAGGATATAGCCCGGATAAAATTATTCCATGGGAGAGGTGGAATAAAGGTTGATAGGATTTCTAATATCCATAATATAAAAGTTATTTTTCTCGAATAACAAACTTGTTAAATTAATAAAATTAAAATAGTATTTGAATATAAATAATATTTGAATTTTAATATAAAAAATTCAAAATAACAAAAAAATAAGAATAAATTCGTTTTTATTTATTCTTATTTTCATTTTTATATTCAAATTTCTTTATATCTTATGATGTAAATTTCATATATATATATATACACACATTTAATATTTATATTTATTACATATTTTAGGCATATTTGTATAGTTTACTATTTAATAAAATTTTATTAGAGAATGATGGAAGGGGAAGAAATAAAAAAGAAAATAATTAAAAAGAGAGGGAAAATAATAAAAAAAATGAAATAGGTAAGAGTATCGTGAGAAATTTTTATCATCTTCATTTGTGTAATTTTTATGTTCATTTACACTGATATAATGCTCATAGCAAATAATGGATATAGAAATATGTGAAAATATCCAGCTTTATTACTGCAATTTACCAAACAATAGATAAGATATAACAAATCATCGACTATTATATAATCTATATTGACCGGGTGAACACTGAATATGTCCTTATTACATATCCTTAGGCCACAACACTCTTCATGTGGAAGGAAGCAAGGAGCTTCGGTAGATCAGACAACACGGAACCTACTATTCAAGTTTCTGAGTGAATTTCTGAACGTATTAATGAACTTTTCATTCAAAGTTACTGTAAACTGATTTTGTGAGTATTAAATATCACATTGAGAAATTACTAAACACTTTGAAACTCTACCAGTAATTATACAAACATACTTATATATGTACATTTTAGTAACTCAGAGTTAACTCTTATCATTTGACATTTTAGATATTATTTGAAAGAATTGAATAATATATAGACACGCGATATAAAAAATGTTCACAAGTAAAATTGGGGTAACAATTATTAGAAGATTAGAATAAGTATAATTAAAAATCCCAAATCGTTATGCAGATTTATCCCTTATTAATTTTCGTCTTACAAAAATCCTACACTGGTACAATTATGACACATTTATCAAAATCTAATTTTCGTTTAATAAAACATCCCATACCAGTACTCCTCACCCAAATCTACTCTCTATTTGTAGATGAAAATTGGTTTAGGATAAAACGGTGCCACGTGTCATGCATGTGGCAATCCTAAAATCTAAGTGAAGGGTCACTTGGCGAATATGCGAATGTGGGGCATGTGACAAAACTATGCCACGTGTCATGCCATGTGACAATCATAGAAGCACAGGAAAGTGCCACATGGCGAGTATGGATGTGGGCCACGTAACAAAATGATGCCACGTGTCAAGTCATGTGACAACCATAGAAGCAAAATGAAGTGTCACGTGGAGAGCACAGGAGTGAACACTTTGTTGGATTTCGGCTCTAACTATATATAATAGATGAAGGTCAAGAATATATGTTTTATCACAAAAGAATTTCCCAAAAATCAATAAAATTTAAAATTTGTTGAAGTTTATCAAAGACAATGAAACCAACTTTGAAAAACATGGGAAAGAAAATACAAATTTCATATATTGAATTCAAAAGGGCTAATGTAGGTAAATGCTCACCTTAAATTGATTTGGCACTACTGTGATACTGCAATTGCTCATATCAAGTCCCACTAATTTCTTTCTACCAGAAGAAAATTCTAGAATCCGAGGAGCACATCTATCCCATCGAAACCATCTTAGCTCATTAGGAAGCCATATAGGACCTTGGAAAGAATTATGCACATTTTGCAAAATGAGCATTCTCAAACTTCTCAGTTTTGTAAAAGCATCAGGATTGATACATATTTCTATCGGCTCAGGTGGCTCCACCACTATGGCTTTTACAACACAATCTTCCTGTATAAACAAAACTATTTGGGTTATGCAAGTTCAGTAATTAGAGTAAAACAGATAAGGAGCATAATTCTGATCATATATGCAAGTCTTACCGTGTCACTTGACAGAACATCGACAACGTCATCATACAACCATAGTCTGCTGCGTTTCCCGGGATCATCGCTTTCTTGGTTCACAATATCCATACCCATAAATTGAATCAAGTCATGCATTTGTATGTTCTTGGACTCAATTCTTATCAAGGACCTCTCCATGAGAATTTGTAATCCTATTACTGCCTTAAGATCGCAACTGTCGAGAACTTTCTTTACATACTCACTATCCCAGCCCTTAAAGAAGCAGGCAATGTGGAGAAAGATCTCTTTCACTTTTGGCTCTAGTCCATCATAACTTATTTTGAGCACATCATTGATGCCTTTTTTAGGAGCCGTAGAAATTTCATCCAGTGCACTTTCCCATTCATATTCTCTTCTACCGCGTAAGAAGGAACCTAGCACCTCAAGTGCTAAAGGAAGGCCTTTAGCATGATTTAGAACACTATCCACTAGATCTGTCCTGATTTTAAATTTTTGGTGTGTCGGAAAAGCATGCTTACTAAACAGCTCACGAGCTTCACTGTCATCCAGTTCTCTAATCTCGTACACATGATATTGATCTATCCCGAGATAAGTTAGCAAATGGCTATCTCTTGTAGTAACAATGATCGTGCTCCCGTTACGAAGCCACTTACCTTCTCCTACTAAAGCATGTAATTGGCGCAAGTCATCCACGTCATCAAGGATGAGGAGAACTTTTTTGTGACAAAGTCTTTCTTGTATTAGATTAATACCTCTGTCAACATTGGACACTACTAATCTTTCTTTCAGTGCTAATATCTCAAATAGTAAATTTTCTTGCAAAGTTACTAAATCCTTGCAATCTTTTGAAACTTCTCGAACATTCGCCAAAAAACATGAATTCCCAAATTGATTGAAAATATCATTATAAACAGCTTTGGCTAAAGTCGTCTTTCCTATGCCTCCCTGTCCCCACAATCCTACCATGAGAACATCATCATCAGACTCAAGGTTTAACATCGATTTTAACTTAACCACTCGGGAATCTATCCCAACTGGATGTGTAGCAACATGCAGAAGTGTTCGGTCTAGGTGAGTGGAGATTTCCGTCACAATTCTTTTTATAAGCTCTGACTCATCTCTGAAAAAAAGAAGAAGAAGAAGTTGTGGCATCATTTTAGCAATTTGAATAAGCAAATAACAAGCAATTACTAGCCAACGATGACAAAAGCAGTGCATCACATTTTTACATAACCATAGCCAAAACAAAATGTATTTCTACCAAGTCGAATTAGAACTCAAAAGAGCTCCACAACAATCAAAACAAGTTCAGGTTCAACTTTTAGTCTTCCAAGTGATTCATGTTCTTTTGATTTATGCATGATGATTTACTTTTTTTTTTTGTTGAACTATTATTATATGTGATTTATTTATACACTTAATCAAAAAACTTGCCAAGCTTAATTTTCTTTTAATTATCAAATTTTCTTCAATTTTTTCAAATTTCATTTTTCTTTTTTAACTAAATCTTAGATTTACCAACTCTTATATGAGATTACTAAATTTAACTTAAGCCACTAAAGAATTTTCAGAAACCAAAAGATGAAGCATCTATACATGTACTTACAATCATGTGTGTGCAGATTTTTTACAAACAATCTTTGTACTTGTAAAAATTGGCTTCTTACACAAAATATGGACTCCACTCTACTTACCCATCTTTCAAATGCCACCCGGACAAGTTAGCAGCATCGGAAAGAGCTTTCTCCCATCTCTTCACTTCCTTTGAATCCTTCCCGAACTTGGACTCATGCTTAATCATAGCTTCTCTATACCTCTCTCTTGGTGTTTTCACTTCTCTAGGTTCCACTTTGTAAAACAAGGGAAAGACCAAGAGAGCTCTTTCTTTCTTGCAGTCCATGATTCTCGCCACCTCTTCCAAACACCACCATGAGGAAGGGAAATCCTCAGAGAAAACAATTAATGCGATCTGTGATTCATCGATTGCCTTCATAAGTGCTGGCACTATTTGCTCTCCTTTCCTGAGCTCCTCGCTATCAACATAAGTGTAGATTCCTTTTTGGTTAAGAGCTTCGTAGAGATGACCGAGAAAGTTGTTCCGAATGTCCTCACCTCTGAAACTTAAGAACACATGGTAAATCCTTTCAGGTTTTGATGAAGAAGCCATTAGATGATGGAGTTCAACCATCAGCAAAGAGTATTAGCTTAAGATTTGGTAGTGTGTTTTCAGGTAGTTCATTCACCATTTGATCTTCTTGTTGATTTATTCTTATACTAGAGGACAGAGGTGTATGGCTTTTTTAGGGCAAAGTCAATAAAAAAATAATATTAGAAATTTGGAAAATGATGGACTAAGATATCTAATAGGTGTAACCACATGGACTTATTTTTTCTGAAGAAAGCAAATCACGGGGTTATTCCGATTGGCGGGCAAATGGATAACAAAGGTAGAGAATAGTATAGATCACTAATGGTCCCAGTGGACTCAATTATTGCACAAACTGATAAAGAAACTTTGTTGACTTCCTCGAAATCACATCCACAACCTTCGAGTAGTTTTTTGTAACATCCTCAATTTTAGTCCCTAGGAATTGGCCATGGAAATAGTGTATGGACTGATCCGAGGGTCGGTTATAGATCAGGCTAGTATGGTCAATCGTTCAAGGCACCTAAAATCTTGATTACCTTAGTTCTTTGCCAAACCAAATTTAGTGAAATTTGGGATCCGAAGAAGGAAGTGCCATTAGAACTAAACAAAGGGATGAGACTCATTTCTAAGCCCTCCAATCTTACCCATGATTTTGCTAGAATTGAGTTTTATCAAACCAAATTTGGTGGTTTTCTCATTTGGACTCAATTCTTGATCTTGTTATGGAAAAACCCAGATTCGGATCTTCTATACCTTTTCGTTTTGTTATTTTTGTGAAAAACTTTGTGGACCGAATTTCCTGAAATTTTCTTCTTCAAAGTTGTTCCAAATATCTTGAAGTTTAACATATAGCAAGCCAAGGTCAAGAGAGACAAAAATGTCATTTTCACATGGGTCCCTAAAGTCTTATGGCCATTAATGTGTGTCATGATGGAGGGGTCCCTAACGTCAAAAATCATTTAAGGCTTGTCATGATGATGTGCCCCAAAGTATAACTTCAATTAATACAAGCCATTAATGATCCTTATCTCTTCCTCTCTTTCTCTCTCGGCAACTCTCTCGGCAACTCTCTCGGCCGACTCTCTTCTTGGCCGACTCCCCTCTCTCTCTCTCCCTATTTCTGTGGCTCTTACTTGAGTCATTAAAAGGAAGAGATAAGGTGTCATCATGAAAGGGTCTCAAAAGTATCATGTCATTAATTTAGGCTTCTTGAACAAGCTTCATTCTTGGTCATTCATCTCCCAACATAGGCTTCAAGTTTTGACTTCTCTAGAATCGTCCAAGTCCAAGCTTGCTTCTCTCTCTCGGTTTCCCCCTGGGCCGACCTCCAATTAAAGCATAACATGTCTCATTTGAAAGCTCAGAACGTGTACTTTAAATCACCAGAAGACATCAAGTCAAAATTCCAACGTTCTCGTATAGAAAATGCTGAATCTTTAAAATCTTACAAAACCGGAGAGTTTTGCACTGTTCACGAAATCGGACTTGAAAACATAGTAAATGGACTCAGAAAATTCTCCAATTTGAATATGTCATAAACAAGGCCTTAACAAACATTTTTCATGTAGAGCACGAAATCTCAATCTCTCTGTAACAACCATTTTTAGTAGCTCAAAGACAGACTAAAAACAGTTCACTGGAACAGAATTCTTGTTTCTCAAAGTAAGCTCTGTCCAGAATCCAAATCATCTCACAAAAATTCCCAAATTTATTTACGTTAGAGAAAAGGAAGTTCTCAACAACTTTTGTGAAGGAAACTTTTCCAAAATCATCCCAGAAAAGCTTGTACAAAATAAAGAAAGGTGAACATCACCGAAATACCCATTCTGGGCAGTTTTACACGGTCCGAAAATCAGGCCATCATACCACTCATATCAACTCCAAAAATTATAAAATAAAATTATGTAAAACTTCAAGATGTTTGGAGAAACTTTCAAGAAGAAAGTGTTTGGAAATTCGGATCACAAAAGTCTCCCCAAAAATAACAAAATGAAGAGGTACAAAGGATCCGAAATTGGGTTTTCCAAAACACGAGTAAAAATTGGTTCCAATTGAAAAACTACCAAACTTAAACCATAGCCATTTTCCAGGGACTGAAATTGAGGATGTTACAATTCTCCACCTTCCACGTGCTCAAGCAACACGCCAAGAATCGTTCGAGAGTCACCGAAGTTCTTGTGTTCTTCACACGTCACCCGTTTCTCTAGTTCTTGTTTGAAATCATTGAGTAAGTGAATTCCCTAATATCGGGAAGGGATGTTGAGATGCATTGTGACGTGGTTTGGTTGGACCGTTTCTCGGTCATTTGATTGGTCGTAGTTGGTTCATTTTCTTAGTTTGATCATGTCTCATATTTGTTGTTGTTTTGGAGATAGAACCGAGGCTTGAATGCCAAGGTGCACATGTTATAGCCATGCTTGATGTTTTCGTGTATGAACTTTGCTATTGATCTCCATCGATGCGGGTGCGGTAAGGGCCGACTTTTGTTAATGGCGATCGATATATCCTCACTTGATATTAGTGTTTTCACTTGCTGAGTCTCCCCGACTCATCCCCCGTTGTTTCCCTTTTTCAGGTCCGTAGGATGGCATCTCCCCCAGCCCGCGTTGGCAATCTCGTGGAGATAAGAGCCGAAGTGCTCACCGTGATAAATGCCAGAGAAGACCGCGCCTATCGCCGAATCACGACGCTTGTGATGATTCGATGAGGGCCTAATGGACTTGGTGCCTCATCCGTACGTGGCGTGGTATCACTATGCGAAAGGAGAATGGGTTGGATCCCTATGTGGGTTCAACAGTGCTTTGGCGGTGCGGGCAGGCCAGCTCCGGGATAAAGCCACGGGTGGGATGTGAGATGGCCAGGCGGACGGGACCGGGGTGGAGGTGAAGAAGCGAGGAACGAGAAGCCGTAGTGGGTATAGGACAACCCAAGCCGAGTTTTGCTATTCTTAGTACGTGTGAAATATGTGTTATTTGCCATGTCCCGAAGGGCTTGTTAAAACATGTTTGCATGCATTGTAAACATAAGGTTTGCTCATGATGCTTCTTGTCTTATTTCCGCTGTGTGAATTGAATGTGATTGTCCCGAAATTATGCTTCCGCCCGTGTGTAAAGAAAGATAACAATGAACAGGACGTCACATTAAAGATCCTGAGGTGGGGGCGTTACAGTCTAATTTGGTATCAGAGCAGGTTTTCCCTCCAGTAGGTGTAGTTCGGGGCAGCTTACAATTGGCCAGTCCAACGAAGGCGGGGAGTGGCGCCGGGGCCAAACGACCTGATCATTGAGTGGCTTCTGACAGAGGTGGCGCCGGGGTAAGAGGCCTGATCACTAAGCGGACTCTGGGCAGAAGTGCCGCCAGGGTGAAGGGCCTGATCATTGAGCGGCTCCTGGCAGGCTTCTAGGATGGCTAAGGGCGAGAATGACCGAACTGTTTACCGAATTGGGAAAAACGATTCTGAAATCAAAGTGGGAATAAAGACCTGGAGTGATAAGGCGCGCTGAAGTTGGGGTAGTTAGCTAGGAAACACCCTTATGCATGTGAATGATTGATTGTGGTTGAATAGGTTAAGTGCTCCTGTTTGTTTGTGATCACTGACCTATTCTTGTGTTGTAGAAAGTCTTGTTAGACTATTGATAGCAAAATAAGTGCTCAGGACCAGGCTGCGACCGCTGAAGAAAAAGGAAAGTCCTATCAGGATGCCACGACCTCGAAAGAAGGTTCCCCTCTAGTAAGTTGCAGTTCGGTGTTGAGCCAAGAGAAGGCCGTTGAAGTTTGACATAACCCGATCCGATGAGGCCGGGGAGTGATCGCCGGGGTAGAACCTGATCAAGGAGCGGCTCTTGGCTAGGAAGTGGACGCCGGGGCAAGAAGCCTGATCAAGGTACGGCTTCTAGCAAGAGTGATTAAAGACCTGAACAACGTGCGGCTCCTGGCAGGCTTCTAGGATGGCCGGTAAGAAAAGGAATAAACCGAACTAGGTACTGAATTGAAAGTAAGACGGGAATTGTTACTTAAAATGATAAGTGTGATCTTCGTGATTGTTATAAGTAAGTAAACTATGTTTGAGGAAGATTTTATCAGAGTAGCGCAGCGGAAGCGTGGTCAAGCTTGCTGCACTCTAGTATGTCGGAGCGAGGCTGGGGAAAGAAAGGTCGTTGGTCCAGAGCTAGTCCAAATTACAGTGAACGCTGTAAAGGTAGTAAGGTAAGTTAAATCCCAGGTACGTTTTAAATTTCGAGGACGACATTCTTTTAGAGGGGGAGAATTGTAACATCCTCAATTTCAGTCCCTGGGAAATGGCTATGGTTTAAGTTTGGTAGTTTTTCAATTGGAAACAATTTTTACTCGTGTTTTGGAAAACCCAATTTCGGATTCTTTGTACCCCTTCATTTTGTTATTTTTGGGGAGACTTTTGTGATCCGAATTTCCAAACACTTTCTTCTTGAAAGTTTCTCCAAACGTTTTGAATTTTTACATATTTTAATTTTAGAATTTTTGGAGTTCATATGAGTGGTATGATGGCCTGATTTTCGGACCGTGTAAAACTGCCCAGAATGGGTATTTCGGTGATGTTCACCCTTTCTTTATTTTGTACAAGCTTTTCTGGGATGATTTTGGAAAAGTTTCCTTCACAAAAGTTGTTGAGAACTTCCTTTTCTCCAACGTAAATAAATTTGGGAATTTTTCGAGATGATTTGGATTCTGGACAGAGCTTACTTTTCGAAACAAGAATTCTGTTCCAGTGAACTGTTTTTAGTCTGTCTTTGAGCTACTAAAAATGGTGTTTGCGGTGAGATTGAGATTTCGTGCTCTGCATGAAAAATGTTTTCTAAGGCCTTGTTTACGACATATTCAAATTTCAGAATTTTCAGAGTCCATTTACTATGTTTTCAAGTCCGATTACGTGAACAGTACAAAACAGCCCGGTTTTGTAAGATTTTAAAGATTCAGCATTTTCTATACGAGAACGTTGGAATTTTGACTTGATGTCTTCTGGTGATTTAAAGTACACGTTCTGAGCTTTCAAACGAGACATGTTATGCTTTGATTGGAGGTCAGCCCAGGGGGAAACCGAGAGAGAGAAGCAAGCTTAGACTTGGAAGATTCTAGAGAAGTCAAAACTTGAAGCCTAAGTTGGGAGATGAATGACCAAGAATGAAGCTTGTTCAAGAAGCCTAAATTAATGACATGAGACTTTTGAGACCCTTTCATGATGACACCTTATCTCTTCCTTTTAATGACTCAAGTAAGAGCCACAGAAATAGGGAGAGAGAGAGAGGGGAGTCGGCCAAGAAGAGAGTCGGCCGAGAGAGTTGCCGAGAGAGAAAGAGAG